TTTAAGTCCCAAAATATGAATTTTGGAGGGGCACATACATTTAAACCTTAGGAGAGCTGTAGTTTTCTGACCCTTAATTTAAAGCAACAAAATCATTACTTTGCTTACAAATCTATAATTTTGGTAGATTTGGTGGGCAGTCCCTCTGTTCTACTCAGTGTTAATTTGGGCAGTTCAAAGACTGAGGACTGGAATTATCTGAAAGCTCACTCATAGGTCTGTCCCCTAGTCTAGGAATATAGCTGGAGGAGGCTCCCTCTATATGATCTGTCCAGCATGGCAACTTCAGATTAGCCAAACTTTTTATATGTTCTGGGCTCCTAAGGTATATGGCCAGAGAGAGAAAGGGAGGTAGAAGCCATATTGCCTTTTTTAGTGTAGCCTCAAAAGTCACTCAGTGTCACTTGTCATTGCTATTGCATTTTACTTGACTAGGCCAGGGGTGGGCAAACATGGCCCCCAGGCCAAATCTATCTAACTGCCTGTTTTTATAAATAAAATTTTATTGGAACAAAGTCTATATATGTGTTGTCAGTGGCTACTTTCATGCTACAGTGGTAGACTTGAGTAGTTGTGACAAAGACTGTATGGCCCCCAGAGCCTTATTATCTGGCTCTGTACAGAAAAAGTTTGCCAATCCCTGGTGCTCTCAGCAGCCCACCTAGGTTCAAGGAGAGGTGGGTGGACAAGGTTCTGGAAGAACATGTGAAACTAGAAATATTGTTGGAGCAATTTTTTTTGAGACAGAGTCTCACTCTGTTGCCTGGGCTAGAGTGCCATGGCGTCAGTCTAGCTCAAAGCAACCTCAAACTTCTGGGCTCAAGCAATCTCCTGCCTCAGCCTCCTGAGTATCTGGGACTACAGGCATGCACTACGATGCCCAGCTAATTTTTTCTGTATCTTTTTAATTGGCCAATTAATTTCTTTCTATTTTTAGTAGAGACCGGGTCTCATTCTTGCTCAGGCTGGTTTCAAACTCCTGACCTTAAGTGATCCTCCCGCCTCAGCCTACCAGAGTGCTAGGATTACAGGCATGAGCCACCACGCCCAGTCTATTGGAGCAATATTTAGAAAATACAGTCTGGGCCAGGCATGATGGCTCACATTTGTAATCCTAGCACTTTGGAAGGCCAAGGTGAAAAGATTGCTTGAGGCCAAGAGTTTGAGACCAGCCTGGGCAAAATAGTGAGACCCTGTCTCTACAAAAGATAAAAACATTACCCAGGTGTGGTGATGTGCCTGTAGACCTAGCTACTTGGGAGGCTGAGGCAGGAGGATCTCTTGAACCCAGGCGTTTGAGGTTGCAGTGAGCTATGACGATGCCACTGAAGTCTAGCTGGGGCAGCAGAGTGAGACCCTATCTCAAAAAAAAGAAAGAAAAGAAAATACAGTCTGCTATAGGAAATGAGCAGATGTGACTCCCTAGGGAAGACAATTGCTAGGAGAGTGAACAGCAAATTTTGACAGGTGCATGCGAGGTATGTTCACAGAACAGCAATGTGCCATTGTTGCTGGAGAAGAATAGGTAAGATAAAGAGTAGTACAAGATGAGGGCAGAGAGGTTGCTGGGGCCAAGTTATGGAAGGCCACGTAGACCATTAAAAGGACTTTGGCTTTAGGTGTGATGGGAGGCCATTAGAGAGTTTTCAGGAGAGAAACAGGATCTCACTTATATTTTTTTAAGGATCATGTTGGCTGCTATGTGGGGAATAGATTACAAAGGACAAGAGTAAAAGCAGAGAGTCTGGTTAGCAAGATGTGACAGTCATCCAGGCAAGAGAAGAGGGTGGCTTAAATTAAAGTGGTAAGAGAAAAGATAGAAGCAATTCGTGAATGAAGATATTTTTGAGGGTAGAACTTATAATATTTGCTGATGGATTGGACAGTGGACAGTGGGAGTGAGAAAAGAGAAAAGTCAAAGATTTCTGAAACGCCAAGGTTTCTGTCCTGGCCAAAGTAGATGGATGGAGTTATAGGGAAGACTGAAATAGGGAGAAACATTTAGGGGAAGAAATCAGGACTTCAGTTTGGGACATGGTAAATTTGAGTTGCCTACTAGACATCTTTATGGGAATGTCAAGTAGTTATTCAGTTAAAAGTCAAGTTCTTTTTATTTATTTCAGCATATTATGACTGTACAAATGTTAAGGTTACTTATATTGCCCTTGGCCCCCCTTCTCCCTCGAGTCAGAGTTTCAAGCCTGTCCATTCCCCAGTTGGTGCGCATCACGCTCATTATGTATGTATATACCCATCCCCTCCTGACACCCAATAGATGTTATTCCTATATGTCCACTTAGGTGTTGATCAGTGAAACCAATTTGCTGGTGAGTACATACATGTAGTGCTTATTTTTCCATTCTTGGGATATTTCACTTAATAGAATGGGTTCCAACTCTAGCCAGGAAAATACAAGAGGTGCTATATCACTGTTGTTTCTTATAGCTGAATAGTACTCCATGGTATACATATACCACATTTTATTAATCCACTCTTGTACTGATGGGTACTTGGGTTGTTTTCACATCTTTGCAATTGTGAATTGTGCTGCTATAAACATTCGAGTGCAGGTGTCTTTTTCATAGAGTGAAAAGTCAAGTTCTTGAGATAGTAAATTTGGTAGTTGACAGAGTATATTTAAAATCACAGAAAAAATTGCTCAGGAAATTAGCTTGGATAGAAAAGAGGGCCAAAATGTGGTGGTATAATCTGATGACATGACTTCAAAGCCATGGATTTTTAGGGAGAAGGGAAGGACCATGGTCTGAGTGGCTCTGAGGAGCAGTCAGGGCACCCACCCACATGCGTGCTCAGTGAGAATTTAATTGCACTGATCCTGTTTCACCATCGAGAGTTTGTTTTTACACAGTGGGAATCCTGAAATCTTAACACAGAACCGTACTCTACAAAATAAATGAAAGTGGAATGTACATAGGGGAAGGAGGGGCACTGGCCCTCTCAGCTTCCTCCTCGGGTCTGCCCACTCCTCCCAGGGCCCTGAGCATTCCCATTCCTGCTCTCTCCTTGGAACCCCTTTGAAAACCACTCACCTTCAGTGCTTAAAGATTGATATGCTAAGAGGTACATTAATTCTGTCCCTCCCCTGCTAAAAACCCTTCAGAGGCTTCTCATTGTCCTCAGACTTCTAACATGGCTCACTAAAGGCCCTTCCTGGGCTACTCCCTAATTACTTCTCTTGCTTTCTCTCACCCCCACCTTGCATTTTGTGCCCCACTCACACTGACCTTGTTTCACTTCCCCAAACTCTCACGTTCTTTCTTCCGGGCTTTTGCACGTGTAGTCCTGACTAGGCTCTTCTTTATCTTACTAACACCTGTACTAATCCTCAGTTTCAGTTTGGACTTCATTTTTTTCTGGTAGCCCCTCTTTTCTAATTTACATCTTCCTGCTATGTTTTTTCCACAGCACCCTATTTACCTTATCATAGTCCTTTTCTTTATGGTTTACGTTTTTTCATCATCTGTCATCCTTATTGGACTAGAAGCGCCATAGGAGCAGGGACCATGTCTGTCTCTCTCACCATTATATTACTGTCATAGAGCCTAGCTCATAAAGATACTTAAGCGTTTTTTGATAGTTTGAATGAAAGATGTGTAATTTTTAAGGTGAATTGTGTTTTCTTGGTAATGTGGGGATTTGGGAAACCGTCTAAATTTTGTACTTGATCAGTTATTAAATCTGCAAAAAAAAATAAAATAGAAAAACGTAGTGTAATAACATGGTTAAATTATTTCTATGCAAAAAGCTTATTGTCGCCGGGCACGGTGGCTCACGCCTGTAATCCTAGCACTCTGGGAGGCCTAGGCGGGCGGATTGCTCAAGGTCAGGAGTTCAAAACCAGCCTGAGCAAGACCCCGTCTCTACCATAAAAATAGAAAGAAATTAATTGGCCAACTAATATATATAATATAAAAATCAGCCGGGCATGGTGACGCATGCCTGTAGTCCCAGCTACTCGGGAGGCTGAGGCAGGAGGATTGCTTGAGCCCAGGAGTTTGAGGTTGCTGTGAGCGAGGCTGATGCCATGGCACTCACTCTAGCCTAGGCAAGAAAGCGAGACTCTGTCTCAAAAAAAAAAAAAAAAGCTTATTGCAATACAAATGTAAATATAAATATGAATACTGATTATGTTAGGATGATTACAATGCATTATTTTCCTTAGTATGTTTCAAATTATAATTTGTTGTATTTCTTTTATATGAAATGTTTTAAATAATTAGTTTTAATTTCTTTTGCATTTAATCATTTTAAATTTAGCAGCTTCTTTAATTTTTCTGGTAATTTTATTCCCAAGCTTGACACAATTGTGGGTAGTTCCCAAGACTTAGAGCATAATCTCTACTGCAGATAAGGTCAAACATCTTGTTTCTATACTTCTGCTTTAGTAAATTAAAAGCTTTGCATTTTCGAAATTTATTTAAGATAAAGTATCATATTGTTCAAAATAGCAATACTGTTGTTTTTAATAATCTTTACTTTTTTTCATGTATTAAATAAGCCTTCTCTTACTTCCCTGGTCCTTGGAAATGCTATCATCATTACTATAAAAGTAGTACTTAAGTATTAAATGTTTGTGAAGTGTCTTTGCAAATGACTTGAAGTGACCTCAAGTCATTAATGCAGCAACTTGTAGACAAAGGAATTGAGGCTCCGAGATGTTACGTAGCTTGCTGAAGGTCACAGCTTGGTTAGAGGTTTACTGCGAAACTAAATCAAAGATCATCTTGTTCGTAAAGCCCCCTACATGTAATATAACACAGTAAAGCTTTTTCCCTGGTGTATATATTTCTTTTAGGAATAATTTTATCTACATGAACATGAGGAACTTACAATGTATTTCTAATTTAAGGCTGTTGCTAATACTAAATCTTGATAAAACCTGTCCTTTTAAGTCTGGTTATGTTAAAAAACAAACTTTTTTCTGGTTTGATGTTATTAGTATACTGTGTTTTCATGCTTTTTTTCTCCTTCCTCCACAGTTGTGTATGCCTAAAGGGCTGTCTTTCAGAACACAAACTGACAATAAAGATCCTCAGTTCCACTCATTTATAATTACCAGGGAAGATGGTTCTCGCACCTATGGTTTTGTTCTCACTTTTTATGAAGAAGTTACAAGCAAACAAATCTGCACAGCAATGCAGACTCTCTACCAGATGCACAACGCTGAGCATTACAGCAGCGTGTATGCTTCATCCTCCTGCAGCATGGACTCACTGGCAAGCAGTATTGATGAGGGAGATACGACTTCCCTTTTGAAACTCCAGCGATATAACTCCTATGATATCAGCAGAGACACCTTGTACGTTTCCAAAAGTATATGCTTGATCACACCACTGCCTTTCATGCAGGCCTGCAAGAAATTCCTCATCCAGCTTTACAAGGCAGTTACCTCACAGCAGCCTCCACCCTTGCCGCTTGAGAGCTATATCCATAATATTCTTTATGAGGTACCTCTTCCACCTCCAGGGAGATCACTGAAATTTTATGGTGTTTATGAACCTGTCATTTGCCAGAGGCCTGGGCCTAATGAACTCCCCCTTTCTGATTATCCCCTTCGAGAGGCATTTGAGCTCCTGGGATTAGAGAACCTGGTACAGGTATTTACCTGTGTTCTTTTGGAGATGCAGATCCTTCTCTACTCACAAGGTAGGTCTTCCTTGGATTTTAAGTTTTCCAAAAACAAGTACTTATGCTCCCAATTACTGTATTTTTATGGAGTATATTACTAGGACAAAATAAATACTGGTTACGGTCTTTTCCGTTTTGTGTAAATGGAGCAGATATGAGTGGGACCAAAGGCTGAAACAATGCCTCTCTTTGAGGTGGCATTGACTGCAGAGAGAAACAAGAAGGAATACAAAAGTATTAACTTGACTGATTTGAGCATATGTATTTTTTAATAGAAATGGCCCTCTTTTCCTGATAATATATAATCATCATAAGAAATTTTATTTCTTTTCAGGCTGGTCGCAGTGGCTCACACCTGTAATCCTAGCTCTGAGAGGCCAAGGCGGGAGGATTGCTTGAGCTCAGGAGTTCAAGACCAGCCTGAGCAAGAGCGAGACCCCGTCTCTACTAAAAATAGAAAAAAAAATTAGCTAGTCAACTAAAAATGAAATGAAAAAATTAGCTGGGCATGGTGGCGCATGCCTGTAGTCCCAGCTACTCGGGAGGCTGAGGCAGAAGGATCGCTTGAGCCCAGGAGTTTGAGGTTGCTATGAGCTAGGCTGTCACCACGGCACTCACTCTAGCCCAGGCAACAGAGACTCTATCTCAAAAAAAAAAAAAAAAAATTTTATTTCTTTTCATAATGAGGGTGAAAGAATCCTGTTACCACCAGAAACATGTAGACTTACCATTCTTTACAGATTAGTAGAGGTTCACATCAAAACTCAACTGACATTGAAAAGGGATAAATGCAATTATTGACTCTTCCTGAGGTAGTCACTTTGGGTCTTTGCCTGTGGGAGCATTTTACATGAGTGAGAGAAGGTGAGCAGGCATGAGACAGATGTGACCTTCCCAGATCTAACACTTCTGCCAGAGCTGTGTGTATGTACATGTGTGGTCTTTATGTTTTTTTTAAATCTCAGAAGGAAGTTATCTTTGTGGTATCTTTTATTCAGAGTTCTTCCATCTAACACATACTTAAGAAACTAACAAACTTAGGGTTTTCTTTACCAGTACATTTGCAATGATGAGCCTAGACTCATCATGACTCGAGCCTAGACTAGGATACTGGTTCTCATCTGAATATGAATTTATAGGGGAAATAGAGATGCTATGTCTTAATGGGTAGTAGATTGAAGGAAATTATAAGATGGTACCTGTGCATTGATGGATTCTTTGAAAAATGTGACACAAATATTTGGGTTAGCATTTTGCTAACTTGTGTTTAGGCTGGCAGAATTATATAGTGCAATCTCCTGACTGCTGCCGTCAAGCTTATTTTACCACTTTCTTTTTTTTATTTTTCTATTTTAAATTATAAGCAAGGCTGAGCCAAGTAGGCTATATTTGTACTTCCCCATCTTGTGTGTATGTTGACACTATTTGTGTGTTGACAGCCGTTCACGAGGTTGTATTTTCTTCAGTTTATCCTACATAATGTTCTCTGATAATACGTTCTAGTGTCTCACTTTTGTTGTCAGGATGTTCTTCTCTAATGGCCTATCTAAATTCTTTCCTTTCAGCCGGTGCAGTGGCTCATGCCTGTAATTCTAGCACTCTGGGAGGCCGGGGCAGGTGGATTGCTAGAGGTCAGGGGTTCGAAACTAGCCTGAGCAAGAGCGAGACTCGTCTCTACTAAAAATAGAAAGAAATTAATTGGCCAACTAATATAGAAAAAAATTAGCTGGACATGGTGGTGCATGCCTGTAGTCCCAGCTACTCCGGAGGCTGAGCCAGAAGGATTACTTGAGCCCAGGAGTTTGAGGTTTCTGTGAGCTAGGCTGACGCCACAGCACTCACTCTTTGTTGCCTGGGCAACAAAGTGAGACTCTGTCTCAAAAATAAAAAATAAAAAAATAAATAAATTCTTTCCTTTCTTCTTTTGCTCACTTTTGTAGTGCTCATCATTACTTGTATCATCTTTCTGTATCTGAAAATTTTTACTTTAAGTAATTCTCTTCTCTTTTTTTTTTTTTTGAGATAGGGTCTCGCTCTATTACCCAGGCTGTAGTGCAGGAGCTCGCTGCAACCTCAAACTTCTGGGCTCAAGCGCTCCTCCTGCCTCGGCCTCCCAAGTATCTGGGACTACAAGCATATGCCACCACACCCATCTAACTTTTCTATTTTTTTGTAGAGATGGGGTCTTACTATGTTGTCTTACTATGTTGGGGTCTTACTATGTTGTTCTGGCTGGTCTTGAACACATGGGCTCAAGCTATTCTCTTAACTTGGCCTTCCAGAGTGCTAGGGTTACAGCCATGAGCCACCATGCCCAGCCTCTCTCTTTGTTTCTTACTTTTTCTTGAAAGGGGTCTGAGTTGGAGATTATCTAGAAGGGGCAGAGGCTTGGAGTGTAATACTCTCAGGTGTTTTAGCCCATTAGAAAAAGGTTTTTTTTTTTTAGGCAGAGTCTCACTTAGTTGCTGGGGCTAGAGTGTCGTGGCATCAGCCTAGCTCAGCAACCTTGAACTCCTGGGCTCAAGCAATCCTACTGTCTCAGCCTCCCGAGTAGCTGGGATTACAGGCATGCGCCACCATGCCCGGCTAATTTTTTTTTCTATATGTATTTTTAATTGTCCAGCTAATTTCTTTCTATTAGTGACGGGGTCTCGCTCTTGCTCAGGCTGGTCTCCAACCTCTAAACTCAAACGATCCACCTGCCTCAGCCTTCCAGAGTGCTAGGATTACAGACATGAGCCACCATGCCTGGCCAGAAAAAAGAATTTTAGATTCTAGACTTAAAAGGAATTTTAACGGCCATTTAGATCAATTTCCTAATGTTCTGCTTAGAGAAGCAGTTTGGGTTAGAAAGAATATTGGGGTTTTGTTTTTCTTATTTTAGTTTTTAGAAATGTGGTCTTGCTGTGTTGCCCAAGCTGGAGTGCAGTAGGTGCTTACAGGTGTGATCAGAGCCTTGAACTCTTGGGCTTAAGTGATCCTCCTGTCTCAGCCTCCCAAGTAGCCGGGACTACAGGCATGCACCACCTCACCTGGCTTGGAATGTTGGTTTTCGAAGTCATAGCAATCATGGTTTCAGATCTTTGCTCTGTCACTTACTAACTGTAACCATAGGCAAGTTACATAAATTTCCTGAGAGTCAGTTTTCTCATCTATCTAAGGATAACAGTTTCAGAGTCCCCTCTCCACTGATTCATTGTGAAGGTGAAATAAGAAAATCTGTACAAAATACTTAAGAGTATAATTGGCACTGGCTAAATTATAGCTGATGACGTTGTAGTTACTATTCATTTTATTAGTTTCATGTAATTCTTTATAAATTATGCTTATCTTGAGTTGTGAAGGTTCGACAAACACTGCATTTAACCTATAACTTTTTAAAATTAAATAGTCAAGATATTTGTTCCACAGTTGAGAACCTAATAAATGTTCTTTTATATTGTGCCATGCTTTTTTTAGAAGAGAGAAAAAAACCCTTCCATTATCACACTTCCTCTTTTAAATAGCACTTTATGTCTCACTACTTGTCTGCTTGTGATCTGTTCTGAGCTCTCATCTTTTTGCTGTTTGTTGAGAACTTTTAGTTGATTAATATTTGCTGATTTGTTTCCATTTCAAATGAAGAAGACTAAGCATTTATGGACATCTGAGTATTTTTATGGTAACTTGCTTGAATGCCTAGAAGAACAGTGTGAATCCTGAGATTAAAGAACTAGATTTTTTAAAAAGAAAATTTAAAGTGTCTCACACACACACACACACACACACACACACGTGCCATACAGTAAGTTTATAACCATTTACTAAAATAACTCTATATCAGGAATTGTACTACAAAAATGTATCATACATTTTGGGTCTTTTCCCAACATTTAATCTTCTCAACAATGAGTTAGTACTGTTATATGCTATACATGTTTTAACAAGGAGGAAATTGAGGCTTAGGGAAGCTAAGTAATCTGCCCAAAATCATACAGCTAGTAAGTACCACTAAAGAATTGGGCTTTGATCAGTCTTTTTCCAGAGTACTTAACCACTATGTCAACTGTATTGGACACTGCATTTAACCTTTCTTTATCTGTCTCAATATTTATATTTAAATTCTTAACTTGCACAGTAGGTCTGCTATAAAGGTATCATGCTAAATGATTGTAGAGTATAAAATGAAAGCTCTGTGTAAATGCAGATTTTAACACTGACAATGTCTCTCCCATTAGAGAAAGACATTTAAATGAATGAAATGAGTCATTATGTTGATTTGTACTCTGGTGCTCTCCTTCATTCCTCCTGACTCAGTGTTAGCGGGTTTTAATAACATAAGATACTTCATTTCTTATTCACTGATAAAGCTATGCTATAAATTTAAAAACATTGCAAGTGCTGAACAATTACCATGAAACCCCAAAGTGAATCATAGTAGATGAATTTCAGTGATGAAAATGTCCTTCTAGACTGATTTGAAATTCTGGTCCACAGCCCATTTAAACAGATTCAGTCTGTTATTTAGAGAATGTGTACATCACAGTCACTTTGCAGTGATAACTAGCTAGAAATTTTAGGTAGAGAATACACATGGGAGGTAGAAGCTTTTCTAGGAACCCAGATCAGAAAAGAGTGCTTTTATTCTACAGCCTGGAAATACCTGGAGGAGGATAGTGGGAAGATCAGAGTATGACTCTCTTTTCAAAGGAATAGTGGAGGAATAAAAGACAAGGGAATTTAAACACCACTGTCTAACTTTTGATACCAATAATTAAAGTCTCAGGAATATTTTTGGGTCTCCTTTAGCTCTTCACAATGGAAATAAGCAGTTACTCACTGCCCACACCACACTGCATGACTGTGTGCCTTTGCAGTGCTCCTCTCCTTTTCTTTTCCTCCCTCTTGTAAGTTATGCGTGAACTAACCTTATTAGAAAATGGAAGCTCCTTGAAATTGGGAGTCTTCCATTCACAAATTGCTAGTCATGCTCAAGTGGACATCATAGTTTATTGGTTATGGAGTTTATAAATCATAAA